TACATGGTGGTGGTAATAGTTTTGAAAACAAATGTTACTTTAATCAGAGTAATAGAGCACTGAGTAGTCTGAAATCTGCAAGTGGCTTTATAGCAGCTACTTCCATCCTTGGGGGCTGAGTGCTTTAGGTAGGTAGGCAATGATGGGGTTTGCTTGGAACTAGGATATCTTTGGGAAATAAGGGAATAGGGGATTCTGGCAGGTATGTGGTCCTTTCACCTTCTTTCAGTAACTGAAAATATTTAAACCTTGGTTTTGAATGAACAGGGAAAGAATGTATTTTTGCTTTACTTGCCAAGTTGGAAGCTGTCAGTATCATACTTAGTATTGCATCTGTGAATTCTTTTCATTAAAATGATTGTACTATTGTTTCTAAAATGTTAGTATAAACATCCCATTTGTAGGTGGCTGGGTCTATCTATTGATGAACTTGTGAATGAAACAGATGAGGTTGAATCTATCCAGTACTGACAAATCCTGAATGGAAGAGGCAATAAAAGAATGGGTTCCTCTAGTCTGGTTTGAGTCCTTGTCAGTTTGTGTTGTGTTTTTTTTATAGCTGTGTTCAGCAGGGATGAATGTTCATGAGTACCTGTCGCTGTGTTCCCTGCTCCTGTTTGCTTTCCCTCTGCACATCTCTTATGCACTGAGTGTCTTGGAGCCTCTTTTCAGTGTTCAATTAATCTTCAGGGTCAGGGCTTCGCCTGATGCCTTGATCAGCACTTAACATGTGTAGCAATTTATTTCAGCAGTGACAAATCATTTCCTTGGCAGACGAGAGCAGAGTAAAAAAGCAAAAACCCTAAAAATCTGCTTCCAAAGCTCACTTCCCAATGACTTGTTCAAATAAATAATGTTCCTCTCCCTCCCTGCCTTTCCTCACCCATCCTTCCCAGCCAAAACCCAAACAGACATGCCTAACATCCCCCTGCCAGCCCCAGAATCCATAGTAGATGTGTTTTTCAAAATGCATTGCAGCCTGTGAGACAAAGCAAAGACAAAATTTAATGGTCTGGGGGTGATTACTAAAATGGTAGGTGGTGTATTTAGAATCATAGAATCATAGAATAATTAGGGTTGCAAAGGACCTTAAGATCATCTAGTTCCAGCCCCCCTGCCATGGGCAGGGACACCTTATGCTAAATCATATCACCCAACGCCTCGTCCAACCTGGTCTTGAATAATTTTCAGGGCCTTGGTTGCTCCGTATTGAGTGCCTGGGCTTGAGAGGTTTTCTCATTAATTTTTATGTGTGTCCTGACAACAATGAAACAACTCAAGCAGTAGGTTTCATCAGTAGAATGATTTAATACTGATTAGGCTGTTTTATATCTAGGATGTGTTTTGTGTTGTGTCAGAGTGATTATTTATTTCATGTTGACTGTCTGCTAAGTGTAGTATGTGGTCTCTGTAAAATCCCTGTAGTACTGGCAGTTCTCAGAGATTTGGGTAAGAAATGCTTTATCTCTTTTTGCATCCTCACTGCTGATGCCTTTTTGTTGCATGTGGTACCTCTTGTTCTATGCTGTTCTCCAGTCTCTCAAAGAACTATTGCATAGTGAGAGCTGGTTTATTCTGTGGCAGGAAGCATAAGCTCTTTGAAGAATCTATTCAGTTGCACAGTTGTTCAAAATAACCACCACTTGAAGGTTCGTCTTTTATCTGATCAGATGAATTCTGATAAATATGGCAAAATTTTCCATAATTTTCCATAATGAGTTGCTTTTCTGATGCTTATTACTGTCCTTGGGGTGTAGGGCAGTGTTGTCACTTTGCTTTCAAAAGCTTCTTGCACAAACTTTGTTACAGAGAAACTCATGTAATATATAAATACTGAGGGATGTGCTCTGATAGTTGCTAAAGTTGATCAGAGTCACAGAGCATATCAAAAGGAAGATCCAGAGTCAGAATAACTTGGAGGTATTACTCATAAGTAGCTCCTTTCCTCACCTGACTGAAAAAAATATTTGAAGTGTCTATTTTCTTACTATCCTAAACATAAAAATCTTGGGGAAGATGGAGAGCTGGTTTATAATGAACATATTAAAAACAAAATATGAACACATGCAGTAAGCTGCTTGATATCAAAACTCAATATTGCTGTCATATTGGCAGAAAATCTGCCACTGGTAGAAATTAGGTTGAACAGTTGTATCATGTGATGTTTCTTAAAAGACATCTCAGTTAAGACTCAGCAGATGTCAGGGAAGGTTTTAAGGATTAGATTATCTTTTGAATATGTGCTCCTGACCACACTAATGTAACTGTTGAGTCACGGAAATGGGCCTTTTTGAAGACAAAGATTAGTTGGGGAAAATTCCATGACTCTTCCCTGAGAGTCCATTTCTCCAGTGAAATGTTTGTTGGGCTTGCAGCCCCATGTTGGGTTCTGAGAGAGGGTGGCAGAAGCCCTCAGGAGAGCAGATGAAGCTGTGCTTTCACAGTGTGGCTTCATTCCAGGTTCCAGTCTAGATTCCAGGATTCCAATCTAGAGCTTTAGTGGGACTCATGAGGATCAGTGTTTGTTCTTTGCCTGCTGAAAGAAGGAAGAGCTGAGAGTGTGGCCATTACCTTTTTGAACTGATATGCTCTGTGTAACTGAACTGGAGACCATGTATTTGCTAACTGATGATTTTGAGTCTTCCTAGAGGACACATTTAAGCACAATAAATTAGTGAAATCTGCTAGGCACTGCATAGACAGGTCCGCTTCATTTGGAGCCAGGTGTTTAAGAGCTGAGCTATGTCTTTCAGGAAGTTACCATCCCACGTATTGTATCCCTGTGCTTCCTTTTATTTGTGGCATTGTGCTCAAAGTTTTGATAGAGAGAATATCTTAGTACAGCAAATTCTGAAAGGTGAAAATAGTAAAATTTTTTTTTTTTTTTTTGGGGGGGGGAATGGAGGATGACACCTCAAACACCTGGGTATTACCATGCTGCAGTTAGCAAAATTAGGCCAAAACATCCTGCCCCAGATTTTTAGGAAGAACAATCTAAAGGTGAGAAAAATCTAAAGGGACAGTATTTAGGTGCTTGATACACTTTTGAGGATGAAGGGGTGTCTAGTCTTGACTTTAGCCTCCAAACTTAAGCAAACACAAACAAACAAAACCTGTCAACTGCAAATATTTATTAAACAGCTGTTAAAGTGAAATTTTTGTAATTGCAAGAGAAACAGATACTTGGAAGTACTTGATAGCTGCTTGTTACTACTTCATGTCCATCTTACAGGAGTCAGGAGCATAACTTTTAAGGTTATCTGTGGTGTAGGCAAGTAAATAACACCTCACAGAAAAATTGTGTTTGGTTTCAGAGGATCAGTGTTTGACACATACACACAGTATACTGTATACATTTTAACCGCTTCTGATGTCCTGTGTTGTTTTGTGGCCACTACTTCAGGGAAAAAGTGAGAGCAAATGGATGGAAATAAAGTAGAAATCAGACAATTTCAGATTTTTGAAGTAATAAGGTTTCAGTGAATATTTTTTTTTCTGTATAGTCCTCACCTTTATGATTTGAGAGGTAATTAAGGTATTTGTAATATCCCACTAGTTTGATCACAACTCCTGTTTGTGACATTTTGTAATGAGTATATAGCTTATAAATAACAGTTTGAAGGTATAAGGTTATACAGAGATAATTGCACAGCTGAAACGCATTGGCACAAGACCAAAGGCCACGCACTTTCCACCATCCCTTCTAAATTGAATAACTTCACTTTATGAGGTGTATCGTCAGAAATTGTTTTCATTACTCCCAGAGGGCAAACTGAGGTTGGTAAAAATCCAATTCCGTATTACCCATATGTATGAATATTTATATTTTAAGAATCTTTGTCAGTTACATTCCTCACTGGCTGTCTCTGTGTGAATACATTGGTCATAGTTTCTGCCTATGTGCTTCTACACTTTTAAACTGGTTTACTTCTCTGAGGCAGACTTCCTTTAAGTCTGCCTTCTCACATGATTGTGAGGCCCAGCAGGATTTTTCGAACTAAGCAAAACTAAACATGCTCCTTTCACTAAACCGTAGTTTCTCACATCCTCTGAATCCCACCATTCTGGATTCCACTTGACCCACATAGCATCCATTTGACTCATCCATTTCAGTCCTCAAACCCAGTATTTGTATATTTTCTTCACATTTTATGTTAAATAGCATATTCCACATACAAGGCAAAGTATTTTGTGTATTCTGAGGCAATCTGAGAAACCCTTTAGTAAAGGGGAAACTAAGGGAGAATGTTTTTCCGTTTTCTGCCAGTGATAAATTAGTGACTTATGAAATCTTGGAGTCACATCTTTTATTACTCTGCTTTTACAACATTAGATTATAGTCTTGTTTCAAGTGCCTTCTTTCCACTCCTTTTCCATGCCTTTTCACTCCTCCCCACTCTCCAAAAAAGAGGACTTTTGCTGTCTTCATACAACAGCTGTTTCCATTTCTTAGCGTAAGAAGGAACATTCTGTATAAAGAACAGTATAGGAAAGGGACTGGTGTACAGAAATATTTACCCAGGATAATCTTTCAGCCTCTATCACTGTGTGGTTCAGGGACTTGCTTTTTCAGAGATGCTGTCTTTATTACTTGGAGGGTTTTTTCATCTACGAAGTTATCAGTTTTAAAAAACATATGTACTGTTATAGAAACAATAGCTTTTGGTAGAATTATCCTATTGCTCATGTTTTGGTATCTGGGTTTTTGTTTCTAGCCCAAAAATTAAATTAAGGAATTAATAATAAATTATTTTTGTTGGTTATTTATACCATTGCATTAAAAAGTTTCACACCAGTTAGCTAATACTCTCAGTCTATTACACTCCCAATACTTAGAACAAGGCTTTAGGGAAACCAAAGAGTAGTCATAATTAGGAGTGCTTGGAGGAAAAATTAATAATGTTGTCATTTATAAATCTCTGCAACCTGTTATGCAGTTATTGCTTTTTTTTTTTTTTCTGTGTTGGATGAAACGGTGTTTATACAGTTTTTCTCTACAGGTTATTGACATGCCAGAACACAGTCCTGGAGATATGGGTGGAACAATGCGACTGGGGAAGAGAAAGACTGTTTTCAAAACACAAAATTCCGTTTTAAGTAAGTTACATTTCTGCTCTTATGACTTGCCTTTTGGGTAGGAACTCTGTAACATAGCAAAGCAAAAATGCCAAAGCACATTTTGTTACAGTACTGCAACCTCAAGCAAGCATTTGGGTGACAGCTTTCCTGAGCTCATTCATTCTGGTCCTGTTCCTATATACGTTTACCCAGGATTGGAATGTAAAGAAAGAAATGAGAGACATAGAAGTCCCAGTGAAAAAATCAGTTAGGGTCCAACACTTTAAATAAACAGTGAGGAATATGTTGAGATAACTGGAAAGCAGATAGTTTAATTCATTATTTTTTTGAGAAGATCAGAACATTTTATTTTCTTTATGAGTTGATAGGATGTGTGAACCAGGACTGCTTGTTCTACCCCTGAAGCTTTTTGGTACCCCAGTCTCCTATGCATTATGCTCTTGACAGACCTAAATATTGCTTGTCATTCTCTAGAGTTGCCAGTATACCTCAGCTTTAAATGTCACCTGGCCTCACTGCCACAGTCCTCACTTTATGAAAGACTCATAGAAAGCTCTGGTAATTTACTCAGGAAATTTTATTCCTGGTTTTGATGCTTTACAGCTTGAATGGAAAGTTTGAAAAGGCAGTTCCTTAAAATTAATGCATATTTGCATTTTTGTAAAATTACAGTACTGTCACTCCACAATTTTTTGAGATCTTGGCAGTCTAGTTCCTGTACGAACCATTAAGTGGGATAGTAGTCCTAATGACACTAAGATAAATTGAGAGCAAAGTTTGAGCCATGGCTGTAAGTGAGAGAGATGATTAAATTCTGGTTTACTGCATGCTTCTAACTTACTCCTTGTTTCTCTGGAATGTAGAGTGTTCCAGATTAGGCTCAGTGAACTGCAAGAGTCCTTTGGGTAATGAGATCAGGAAAAGAGAGGAAAACAATATTCTCTGCCATTGGAGGTATTATGCCAGCTGCCATGCATAATCGATTAAAATGGAACAGATGCTACTAAAAGGCTTCTTTTGCTGCACCTATTGTGTACAACTGTTGTAAAACCCTGAAGGGATTTTATGTTGCTTGTTCATTCAAACTTACTTTATTTTAGGCTTTACAATTTAAATTAGTTTAAGTGTGACCTTTAGACTCTAGTCTACCTATGCTATTTCTGGTTAAGGAATGTTGAATGTGAATCCCAAATAAACTTGGGCAACATAAATTAAAAGAAACCAGTTGTCACTCAGAAAAGCATAATCTTGGAATGTCCTGTTATGTTCTAAATTTGACATTTTTAAATTACATCAAAGTGTTGTAATAACTATTAAAGCAACACATTAGCATTAATTTCTCTTTTGTTGTATATTCAGGGAAACTTTACGGTGATGAAATGTTTGTGGAGGAGCGGCACAGGCATCGATATGAGGTAAGCACTGCTAGTGTAGGTTGTACTCAGAAGTTAAAAGCTCAAGCAAATTACTTTTGTCTTGGTAGGCATAATTCTCTTTAAAGCCAATGTAGAAGCATAACCCAAAATTTAGTAATAGATAGTATAATTTAGATCAGAAGGAACCTCTTCAGTCTTCTGGTCCAGCTTCCTGTTTTGAGCTGAGCCAGCTTCAAAATTAGATCAGGCTGCTTAGGATTTTGCTACATCTAGTTTGAATCTCTCTGAAGATGAGGATGTTGATCTTTTGACAATCTGTTCCAATGCTTAACCACTTCATTATGATCCCTTTTTTCCTTTATATCTAATAGGATGTTTCCTTTGGCAGTTTGCTTTTTATTTCTCGGTCTTGCGCTGTGCATCTCTCAGAATAGTCTGGTTCAGTCTTCTTTATACCATTACATTAAATAGTTGAAGTCAGCAACAAGATCCAGTCTCTGCCTTCTCCAGGCTGAACAAATCCAGCTCATCCAGTCTCTCCTCCTATGCTGCAATGTGGTCCAGCCCCCTAATCATCCTGGTTGGGTCTCCTAAGGACTTGCAACATTTTGTCAATCTTTCTTGCACCCAGGGGTCTGAAACTAGGCACAGTATTGCAGAGGTGTTCTTACAAGTGATCTGTAGAGAGGCTGTGTACTGTTTTTGTGGTAGAGAAGTTGCAGTGTCTTAGCAAAATGGTATTGGAGAGTGATGTCAGAGATTATTTGACTTTCTGTGAAGTATTTGAAAGCTAAAGGCTTATAATCCTTAAATGTGTTGATCCTTGGCTGATTTGGCTTATTTAACAGCTTAGATTATGTCCAGGTAGTGCACATTCTTTCATACATGGGTAGACTTCAGGCATCAAATGTAGGTGGACTTCAGGTATGTACAACTTGGAGGCTAATACAGATCACTTGCTTCCTAGCATCCAACTCTGTATGCCTTTTGTGTAGGTCCACTCCTCTGTTTGAGAACATCTCTGTGTATTCAGGGTACTGTCATTCAAGGAAACAAGTGAGAGCTGAACTCCTGGAGTTACTTCTGAGATAGTTCAGAAGGGACCTGACTCCGCCAGTATCTACAGAGGGGCCTGAGCTATGAGATGTATGCATGCTACAAACTGATTCAGACCATGTTAAGTTTCCTTAAAAAGCTCGGAGGAGAATGTGATCGTGGTAAAGGTGCTCAGAGTTTGAATAGTAACTGAGTGGTTAGAACATCACCAAGGAAATGAAACAGCTCACTGCAGAATTCTTCAGTTTGAAGGAGGAGCTGAGCCACAGCTTGTGTCATAACCACTGAAATGCAGCGTTCAAAAAGGAGGTCAGCTTTTATGCCTACTGCGGTGGGCCATTTAAAAAATGAGAAATGCAAGCTGCTCAGAATCAAAAGGACAGCAAGCAGAAGAGACCCTGGGTTTAATTTTTTTTAATATTATGTAGTAAGTTTTAAGATTACTAATTCACCTCTTACTAAATAAGCATGCCCGCTTTTACAAATTTATACCTGAGAGTTGTTAGAACAAGAAAGCAAAAGTTCCCAACTCTTTTTCTCAATCCTTTTTATTCTTGTATGCATACTGAAAACATTACAAATAACCTCTACTTTTTGTTAAATCCAGAAATAAATAGAATTACAATTATTATTACTTTGAATATTTCAGGTGAACCCAGAGTTGACTCACTGCTTTGAAGAGAAAGGTTTGAAATTTGTTGGCCATGATACAGAGGGGAACAGGATGGAAATTATTGAACTGGAGAGTGAGTGTCTTACTTGTCTGTAGTACTTTCTAAGTCTATTAAAACCATGTAAACTATCAGTTTTTCAGTTCTTAAATGCATATAGGAATAATATTTATCTGTCATAACAGCCAAGATCATGTTGGGAAATGCTGCTGACTCCACCTGTGTGTTGCAGTGGGTGAAGATTCAGAGGGTGTTAGGAGGCATCTTACTCTTGTCAAGGATTGTGCATGTATTTGATTATCAGGGAGACACATGCTCCTTTTCCAAAAGGTCCTAATTCTAGCTCATTGGGATTTGGCTGAGTAGAATCATAGAGTGATGTAGGTCAGTTGCAGTCAGTCTAGCCCTCTGCTTCGACACAGGGCTGCCTTCAAATAGGGATCAGGTTGTTGAGAGCTGCATCAGTCAAATTTTGAGTATCTCCAAGTATGCTGTTTGTTGGATTTCAAACCACTCACCACTAGTCTTTGAACCCAATAGTCCAGCCATTTTTTAACACACTTTGTAGTCTACCCGTAGTCCACAGCTCCCAGATGGGATGCTAGGAAACCATATCAAAATCCTTGCATTGTGAAGTTGGGATAAAGGGAGGCTACTGCTCTCCCTTAATCCAAAAACTGATTGTTCCCAAGGTTGTTGTGCCCGGTTGTCTTCGTGTCCTTCATGTGTCTGGAAATGCCTTAGAGGAGGGTTTGTTTCATAATCTTGCCATAAGCAGAGGTTAGGTTGACTGTCCTGTAGTTCCTTATATCTTCCTTTTTGTCTTGAAGAAGAGCATGGTGACTGCCTTTTTCCAGTCATGAGAGACCTTCATGGTCACCTTGGCATTTCAAAGATAAAAACCATCTTCACAATGACATTGGCCTGCTCCCTAAACACCCTCTAATATTCTTAATTACGTCCCAGTAACTAATATATGTTCGGTTTACTTCAGTATGTGAAGTATGTATACATGCAGTACAGCCAAAGTATAAACCATTGCTGGAATAAATTACTTAGAGAGGATGTGAAATCTCCATCCTTGCTGGTAGTAACCTTCAAAACTTTACTAGAAAAAGCCATCAGCAACCTTCTCACCTTCTGCTTTGAGCAGAAGGTGAGGCTAGAGACCTCTCAAGATGTCTTCCAATTAATTTGTCTCTCTCTCAGTTACCCTCTGATTAGAATTATAGAAAAAAGTATGAAAATCAAATAAAAAGCAAGTTCCTTTCTTTCACAGAGCTGATTCAGATGAAGGTTTGATACTGTGGAAATCTCATAGATTCAGGCTGCTTTAGCAAGGAAGAGCTGATTTCTTTTCTAAGAAATTCTGAAATAAAAAGGAAATAGACTGCATATGTTTGGTGTATGCAACACAGGGTAGCTCTTAGAAACAGTCCCTTTAATTTTGCTTGATTCTTTGGTCAACTCCTTGCTTTTAAGTCACTGTTGGCTACATGACTATCAGCCAGCTGAAGATGAAGGTACAAGTTTTTTTTGTTTTCTTACATGTCCTCTAATTGCCATTGGTTAAGATAAATTCCATGCACGGAAGCATGAATTTATCATAAGAATACATTATCATCCCATGGAGTGCTATTTGTGACATGATGCTCCTGAAGATTCATTTTATGTACTCCATGGTATGTTGAAGAACAGCACTATAATTTTGAACCAGGGTTTGAATAGAGTCACTTACAAATAATGTCAAACAACTGCCCCACAGGGAGTAATCTGAGAGCAAAGGATACATGTGAATTCATAAAATACTAATCGTCATGGTGGGTTTTGCTTACTATGTTCCTGTTGTATATTACCTTTGTTATGCATGCTGGTGTTGGGGAGCTATTTTGCCTGCTGTGTCTGAAAGAATTTCCATAGAAAGCATCTTGAAATAAATCAGGCAGAATTTTTAAATTTCATGTTACTGTGAAAAGAATAAAAGCAGCAGTAAAACCTGGAATTATTTCACAAAGGGCTGCAAGGAGACTCTGATTACTAAAAAAAGACAATGATCGTGTGGAGGAGGGTGGGTTGGAGCAGAAACACAGAAATAACAGTACACAAGATAGCTTAGGCAAAGCTTTTAAGCAAAGTATTCCCACAGGAAATATTTGGTGCTTTGTCATTGTCTTGTTTTGCACCTTTAAAGAGCTAAACTGCATGGTAGATAGAAGTTATGAGAGAAATTTAGGATCCAGGTTCTCTATAAGGCATAGCAGCAGAGAGAAGAGCAGTATACTAGATCATATTATCTTCATGGAAGAAAAACAAAGCTTTTTTTCTTATCATTTATTATGTAATGCGCAGAAATTCCTTGAATGGGATTTTTTTGGAAATTGTTGAACCAGAAGAGATCTGTGGTTGATTTCATTCAGTGTCCTGGCACTAGAAGTGATTAATGTTATTTCCTTTAAAACAATATTCAGAGATGGAGCAGGTGCACATCATGGAAGACAGCGAAAACATTTTTCCTTCCTTCCCTTTTGAAGAAGACAAAAGGAAAGCAGAAGCAGTAGTTAAAAGAATTTATTTGATTTGTAAACAGAGCGCTGAATGTTTAAGAGAGATGAAGCAGCATGGTTTGTTTATCTTAGCAGGCAGAGTTGAATGATAGTGATAGTCATCCTTAATCACACAGTCCAAGCAGCAGGAAAGAGCAGTGCCATAAGAATTAATGGCAGTATATATAAATTGGCAGTAACAAAGATGCCCTGTGAATTAGGAAAAGGTTTCAAAGCAAAAGGAAAGAGTATTATAAGAGTTTTCTAGTAGGAGCAAAAAAAACCTAGGGGGTGTTATGGCAGAACCTTGGCCCTGTGTGCTTGAGACTACATGATGTAACTGCATTCAATAACAGGAGACTGGACTTAATGTCCCAAGAGATGGATTCCAGGCCTAATTATTTGAAGCTTGTTTCCCACAGTTTTCTCTGTATGTTCCTTTCGTGTCCATCTCTTAGTGTGTAAATAGTGGCTATATGGTGGTGCTTGGTCCTTTAGGAACTATTTTATTTTTTTCCCTCAGATATATATGGATGCATGTTTTGAATATACGTGCATAAATATATATTGGAAACCAAACTACTGTGAAAATAACATGATAAATGGAGACTTCATGGTTGCTTCTCCCTCCCCCCTCCCCCCATGTCAGTACAGGTTTATTATTAAGCTTTTAATTACATCATTGTGCATGTTAGGGTCGAATCACAGCATGCTTTTTCCTTAATTTATCTTACTAATCTTCTGCCTCTGTTGTCAGTTGCTTTTTGTGGAAAAAGTAAAGGTATCCTGCTGCCTCACCCTTAAATTCACACATGCTGATCTGACTTCTTGAATTCTGTGAAATCTTCAATAACAGTTGTTTTACTATCTTCTTCCTACATCTTAGAATTTTTTTTGACATCTGTCTTGTAGATCACCCATATTTTGTAGGAGTTCAGTTCCACCCAGAGTTTTCCTCAAGACCTATGAAACCTTCGCCTCCATACCTTGGACTGTTGCTAGCAGCAACTGGGACACTCAGTGCATACCTGCAACGTGGATGTAAATTGTCTCCAAGGTAATCTTTCTTACTTACTTGCCTGAGGTTTGAAGTCAGGTTTTTTGGAGGGACTACCCCATCCTTCAATTCAGGAGTCTGTAAAAGGAAAAGGAGTTCTTAATGTGTTGATTTACTTGTTCCTGTGCATGCCTGACGTAAACCCTGGTGAAAAAGTGACTATAAGCAGTAAGCACAGTTCCTGACTTCCTCATTTTCAGAGGCTATTAGGGCTAAACATGGATCCATACATTGTAACCAGAAAGAAGCAAAAAAACCTTTAACAAGTCATGTGAAATTAGTGTCCTCCTGTGTTAACTTTCCCTAACAGTAGTTTCACAGGGAAAGGTATTTGTCAGAGGATCAAGTAATGAAATGAAATTCTTATCTAGTTGTATTTGAATGATGATAGTACCGAAAACAGAAAACACTGATTTTATTTTTCAGTAGCTAAATAATTAATACTGTCTAGCAGAGACAGGCCTGAAACAAAGTGGTTGGAATACTGTTAGACTTATAGAAGGGTTTGGATCTAGATCAAAGCTGAATGGTGCAGCCAAACTAAAATTATTTGTCCCAGTTCCCTTGGACACAAGAGCTTTTGGTTTATTGAATGTAGCAATAGTTTTTAGCCAGTGTTAACTCATTCTTGTTTATTTCAGTGATATCAATAACTGTTATAATTTCATTACAACAAGAATAATAAAGAGGTCAGAGGGAAGGGTACAGTTACAAAAAAGAAAAAAATTAAAAAAGAAAATCACAAGGACTTAATAAGACAGAACGGATGCAGTGCTGACTTACTGCCTTTTCCTCTGCACAAGGCTCCAAACTTAGTAGTTTTGTGGGGGTGTCATTTTGGTTTTTTGTATTTTTGTTTCTTTTTGAGCTTCCTTTCTATTAGGTCCTTTTCTTAAGTGAGAAATAGAAATTTTGTTCTGGCCAAGCCAGGTCAGATCTATCTATTTTGGTACTCTGATCCTTATGGCTGTCAGTTGCCTTTCATAAATGTACTTCTTTGCGCACCATGGCCAATTGTGCAGTGGTGTACATACATACAGAATTTCTTAACAATCTGGAAGCTACAGCTTGGTTGATACACTCCTATTAGCATATCCTGTTGTTGGTATTAGTGGTCAATAGCTACCTTTTAAAATTTGTGCCAGTGCATTATACAGTTCAAATTTTTGTGGTGCTTGACATGAGGGAGTCTTCAAGCTCAGTGGTTTTCAGTCTTTTCTTGATGTGAGCACTCTCTGCCTCACAGTTCATCTTGTTGCCCAGGTCCCAATATCCTTCCTCGTATTGCTTCCTCCCATAAGTATACCTATTAATCTCTCTGATATAAAGAAAAATTACTTTTTTAAAATGGGTGACCTGTATGTGTCCTAATTTAAATTTAAATCCCTTAGCATTATACAAAATATATTTTCTAACCCTGACTTTAAGTTTCAGCACTTACTGAATGCGCTGCAGTTAGGCTTATTTCAATTAATCAGTAAAAAGTATATACCAGTCTTTTTCTTCACATTCATACAATAAACTCCAACTAGTACTTAAACATTTAGGAAAGACAAAATTTAGTACTCTCAAACTTTATATATAAAATAAAAATTTTGCCATTTACCTAATTACATGGCAACCAAACCACTCTGTCTTGAGAAAGAGCATTGGAATAGAAAAATATTTTGAGAGTAATAGAAGAGTATTTTGCAGGGAGGAACGTTCAGGAGGGAATCGCAGTGGTAATTGCAGCACATCCACTTGTTTTAACATATCCACCTGTTGAGTGGAAAGGATTTCCAATTTAAACCTTTAAATCCCAGAATTCTAGTGATTTCATTGAGCCGTAAAGCTAAGGCATGTCATAGCAAGATTGAAACAAACCTGAAGAGGGGATTTTCTGCACACCTCATCCAGCACTGCCTACATGAATTGTAGTCATGCTGTTGACTAGAGCCAAGATGTTACCTGAAAGAGAATTTGTGGAGACCAGCAAGTTGAGCAGATTACATAAACTAAGCTATTAGAAATACCAAAAAGAGAGTTAATGATGGAGTTCTGAGACAAAAGCAGATACATATTTTAGCATGAGGTCCTTAACAGGAAAGCATTACCCCAGAACATTTAACAGCCCCATAATTAGAATGCAAGTTTAGGACATCTGACACCTGGACAGAAGCCCTAGCTTCTAAGCGAAGTAAACTGCAAATTTAAAGATGCATCACACCTCCCAGGAGAATACCCTAAATAAATAAAGTGAACAATAATAAATGAATAATTGTGAGGCTTAGTCTGGTAGACAGTCTGAGACAATGCTTACACATAGGAGCAAGCATACCTACTTTGAGATTGGAATGCATCCTCCCAGTTAAACTTAGTTCCCAGAAGCTTTGGTGTATACAGAAACAGTCAAGAACTGAGCAAAGGGTCAGAGTAACTCAGTGATGAGTTACTACTTAGTTACCTGAATTGGTAGTTAGGCATCTGAGTTGTCTTTGTTGTTTCAACTTCTCGTGCTTTCTGGCATGAGTGTCTAACCATCAGGCAAAGCCATGTACTTCATTTCCTTGTGAATGGTTTTAAATTGTGAACTTCCAAATATTTCCATGGAAATACTGAAATCGCCATTTAATATGGAGCTGAGGAGGATGAGAGGCTGCCAGTTTACATATTCCATTTTAAAGAACAGAGGAGAACCACAGGAGACTCTCAGAAAATGTACAGTACCCACAAATACACTGCTTTTTAAGAGAAGACAAAAAGTTTTAATAGAAAAGTAGTGAACGAAGAGGGGAACTCTACACGTAATGTTGGCTTGTGCTGAGTATTACAGTTTGATTTTAAAAAAAGTAATAAAACCTGGTTTATCCTTGGGAACAATGTCATATGGATTGCAAAACCTCTGTTGTACAATAAAACCATATTGCTGTTCCCCCCCCCCCCCCCAAGTTAAGCATCAGCAGGCTTTATTTCTTCTCTCACCTTAACACACATCTTTATTAATGGCCTGCAAGAGTAGGCTGCAGTGCATTAATGGTATTTGCAAATGTCATTTAAATAAGAGCTGAAAGCACTATTCAGAACGAAGAAATAACATAAAAATATATAGGGAATTCAGACACCTGTGCTGAAAATAATGAAAACAGATGTTTATGTAGAGGAAGAGGATAGTAAGCTAATGATAATTAACTTAAACACAAATGTCCAGTAGATGGGAGGAAATGCAGGAAGTGTGAAACGTTTCTAGGTGAGAAAGTGTGGGCAACTGACTACTGCCAAAAGAAATTTTTGCATGTCAGTAATGAATATGCTAATGTGCCAATAGGCACCAATCCAATGCCATCTAATCACAGAGTAGTCTGTTAAGTTCTGGGAAGGTTATTAATGAAAGATTAAATTAAATAAAAGATTAAGAAAAGATTTTGGGTTGCATTCAGAGGCAGGGAACAGAAGTGTCCAGAGGTGTGGTGCATAAAGACACTTGGGAAGATTTGCCCATGTAGTGCTTACTGCACTAAAATGGTCCAAGTGCCTCCTAAATCAGCTGTGTAGAGAGGTTTGGGCAAGCACCTATAAACAGAAAAGGAAGCAGCCTGTGAGACATGTTCTTTAGTGTATGAGGGACAAAGAAGGTACGGGCAGGGCTATCTCTTATGTCACCTGTACATTGTCCCCAACCAAGAACGCATCTGGCACAGTATCATATTTCTACCATTGTCCAAATCCAGACATTTCAGAGGAAGTGAAGGATATCTTGTGATTTGAAGACTTAAGAGAGCAATAAGAGAGGGGCTGCTCTACAAGATAAGGCAAACCAGGAACTGGGGTGGACGGTGTACTGGCAGGGATAGTGTCCTCACCATCAGGAGTCAGAACCACAGTCACCAAAGAAGGCAGGTGAACTGACGTCAGTGTCAGTCACCATATCCTACAGACAGTCCAGTGCAGAAGTGCAAAGTGATGAGATAGGTCTGAGGTCAATCCAGGAAGTCCAATCAAGAAGTGAATACAGAACTACAGAGTTGGGTACAGGCATGCCTACAACATAGCTCAGGCAAGGATTAGGAACCAAGGCTCCCGAGCCCGTCAGTGGAGGCCTAAGTGAGGATGGTCAAGGCAGTAAGACCTGCTGGGACCCTCAAGGCTCTTGCAGAAAACTACAGAAAAAGATTTAAAGGAAATCCTTTCAACAACAGCAGTACAAACTTAGTTAAGGCAGTTACTTTGTCATTTTAATGTTAGGTGTTTACAGTGAAGACACTTCTGAGCTAGTCAGCCTAAGTCTCTTTCTGTACTTGCTAAGTGAATATGCACTTTGAAGGAGTCAGGTAGCTCAAGATAACGCTTAAATGGGTCAGAAGCATTATACCTACTGTACAAGTGCCTGTTTCTCTCTATTGATTGTAAGCAGCTGAAGATGAAGATGTTTAAAGGTGAATGAATTGAACCCTATGCGAGAGACTCAGCTGAGGGTTTTTATAAAACCCAGATCCATTCTGGCATCTTGGTTGTTATTTTTGTAGTGCTGGGTCCTAATAAAATTATTATCCCAGGTCTAGTTACGTGAGTGCAGCATTTATTTTAAACAGCCACAGCCTATGCTAAATGTAATTATGTTTATCTTTAATTTGCACTGACGAAGAAATGCACTTAGCTTGGCTCTTGCCTTTGCACAGAATAACATTACTATAACAATTGTTTAAATTGCTTACATTTCTAGAAAAGGACTTTTTTATCAATTATATGTTGAAAAAGAATGAAACTATTTTCTGAAACTGTGTCAAATACTTAATTTCTAAAGGACATTGATCTGGATTTCCAGATAAAACAAACAGAATGTTCAAGGAGTACCTATTTTGCCTGTTTCTTAATAAAGACATTGAAAGCAGGAACTTTTGAGCAGCTGTTTGAGAAACATAGATTTAAAATTGATCTTGAGACTTAATTCTCATGATTCTGCAGCTGAGATTAGTTGCTGACATGATGCATTCCAGCTTCATTCCATGTAGCTCCAGCTATTGGCTGCTTTCCATACCATACCAATAGGATGGTATGGAAATACCATATTGCCATAGCATATGGAAATACCTTGCCTCCTTCCATGGTTTGGACTGATGCATAGCAGATGTGTAATGATACTGTCAGTAGAACAGAGAGATCTGAAATGGGCATAAATTTGGTAATAATGGAGCCTGTGCAGGGGGAGGCTGTTTTTATTGCTTACATGTTGAGAATACAGGGATCTGAGGATGAGTGAACTTCACAACAAAACAAAACCCCATAATGTAATTTCTGAACAGAGGATATTTCATTTCACTGCAAAGTGAAATGCCAGCTAAGTACTAGTATATATTTCATGTTGTAGTTAACTGCAAAGTGAAATGCCATATAGGTTCTGGTGATTCTTCACTTTGCAGTGGATGTATTTCCATTAACTACAGGTAGATTAGGTGTAAGGATCAAAGTGACCTGAATTCTTCATCTTGAAGACTGAAGTGACTGACTAGATGCAGTGACACTGCATGCTCTTTGTTTTGTTTTTCTCTTGGCCACATCTTTATACTCCAGAGAAAATGAAAAAAAGAAAAAAAATAACTGCTGTGGACACCTTAGATCTGCTCACTAGCTCCTTTTTGTTGGGAGTCCAGTGTTACAAGAATTGTTACAAACAAGAAGTGGGTGTCAGGTTCCTGCCCAAGGTAATGACTAGGTAATTTGTACACAAAGTGAGTAAAACCTTGCTGAAGGAAATGTAAGACTTTTTATTTTTCTATTTTTCTTTTTTTTGGTCAGTTTAGGGCTCCGTGTGGAAAAGACTGTCATGAAGGAAAAGCTGGGCTTATTTGGTTTACCACCACCACTTTCATAGCCAGCGCATTTAAGTAATGTTACATAATACCATCTGTAAGCACAAAATATCCATTTAGTTTTTGAGTTTAATATCCGTGTAGCAACTCTGTAATTTGGAAGGAGGTACTTTTTATTCACTTTTTATTTATTCCAAAGAGAGATGATGACTCATTTGTGGTTAGTACCACCCGGAGTTTTTCTTCAGGTGACTCATCAGCTGAATACAGCTCATACAGTAAATGTTATAAACTGGACATCAGCACTGCTTTGCAACTGTAACATGCAAGTGCAACTATGCCAAGATTCATGAGTTCCTGTTTGCTTTGAAGTCCACTGGCAGCATAATTTTTGAAGAGGCTCAGGTTGTCTCAGAGCCAAAATTGTTCTTAATATGATAACCACAGCTTCTGGGGATACTTAGAGATACTATTCAAGCAGCTGAAACTGTGAGACTGACAGTTACCTGAGTCTGAAGCTCAAGAGCTGATCCTTACCTGGGTATTTCCCCTACCTTTCTTGCCACTGTGGCCTACCTGTTAGAGAGAAAACTGGCTTACATCCAACAGGACAGCTGTAAAGTAGGGGAGACCACGAGGTGCTACTGCAGAAGTCCAAAGCGTGATGACAGGATCTTTTCTCTGTGATGTGGAGTCAAATCTTGTACTGAATTGGACAGTGTGGTAATAGTAACAAAATTGTCCTTGGCTGAGTAAATGTTTTAGCCTCTGCACTAGTGGCTACCCAAGTGACCCTCAGTTTCAGCAAACTGGAAACAGGCCTGAGAAGTTGGGGTGGTTAAGTCAACGAAATGATGGAAGCATCCAGCATTGTGTGACTGCTTCTATTTGCAAATGCCTCTAAAACCTGTGGCATTTGGTGGGGGTGGACCTGTGATGACAGCACTGGGTGGTGGGGATCAGCGCCTGTCTTTAGGAGGTGAAGCTGGGAAGTTGTCCACTCACCTCATTGGTCCTTGAGCAATTTTCCTTAAGCATCTGCCTCTCATACCGTGTTCTGTACAGAGCTCTGGCATATGTTTTTAGGCTGTGGCTGCCACAGGGCAGCAAAACCAATTAAAAAAAAACCAAATTGTGTGAAGATTTTGGGGTTAAAACCAGAGGTATAATAAGATTATGCAGCTCTTTGCAGTCACTGTTCTACCCTCTGTTTTGTGGACATTTTTTTCTCTTTTGCTGTGATGTGAAAATGCAAAACTGTTTTAATAATAATGAATTTTTATTCCATGTTTCCATGGGTACTTTCAGAAAGAAGTAAGTACAATGTTGGTGATGTTGTGTTTGTCTGTGCACATTTGGCATGCTTGATCATACTGTTAACACTTTCCTCACTTGAACTGTGTAATTGCCTGCCTGCTGGTGAAATTATCAAGTTGAGCATTTCTCTCTAGCCTGATAAAACACACTCTTTGTAAGAACTGCATCAACAACATGTATGTCATGTGAAGAAAGGGCAGAGTGCTGTAGGAAAAGTCTTAACGTTAGAACAGTTGGAATTTCTATGTTGTCTTGTGCAGAATATGGTACAGTGATGTAACTGTGGGAAGCTTCCCTAACAGTCAGGTAGAAATTAAATGATATGACTGTTGGTGCCATATCTGCTGTCCCACTCTATTAAAATGGCTTTTAGGTTTTACCTAATCTCTGTTTTTTTTTTTGTTTTTTTTTTGTTTTTTTTTTTTTGTTGTTGTTGTTGTTGTTTTTTTTTTAAAGAAGAGAGCATGAAATTCAGGCTACAAAATTCAGGCTTCATCAGTGCCCAGTAACAAGCATTAGTATAGCTAAGTGCAGTATGTTCACTGTTCCACTTTGCTGTTTAGATCAAAGATTTCCAGCTGTGGGGTTACATAGTTCCTCTTGAAACATTACACAGCAGGCAGTTACTGTAGATCAACTGATGGTGCTGTGTTGAGGTGGGTCATGGGCTGATTATGTGCTTGATGTCTCAGTAGAAGATCATTCCCAGAGGTGGGGAGAGTGACGTGACTGATATCCTGTTAGCTGAAGACTGAAGGTGTCTGTGCAATGGCTGGAGTAGAGTTGGTACTGAGGCTGACATGGGTATACCCACACAAATGAGGTCTGAGATTCCCCACCTGTACAGTTTTAACCATACCCTGTGCTCTGCAGTACCACAATACTGACCAGAATTACTGCTGCTCAAAGGTACTTGTCAGTTCCTCAGGCTCCCTTTGCTGGCTTCTGATCTTGGGAAATTCAAGTATCTGGAAAAAAGATTGTAGAAGTAGGGAGAGGCTGAGGCTTGAGGCTCTTCTGAAGAGGTGCACTTAGAGTTAAGATAAACCCGGAGACCCAGTAGACATCACAGCTGACTGTGGATTGTTGGCACTTCTTTCTTTCAGTCACTGCTGTGATTCCTGTTCTTCACTGTTTCCTTGTTCTGGCCACTTACAAAGCAATTACTTGCATGGCAGTTTGTTCTGTGAAAACCAGTCTATTTCTCTCATGAAACAGCAAAAGGTGATAAAACCTCAGAAAAAAAAAAGCTGTCAGGACATTGCTTGGAGCAATAAAAATTATTTATGTTCTGATTGGAAGAGCAAGAATTGTGATTTAAGTATAAATGGAAGCATTCTGAATAAAGTTGTCTTAACTTTTTCTTTGGTCAAACAATAATTTTCTTTATCGCAAAGGAGAAATTCCTTTTAGTCTTGCTCTGAATACTTGCTGTTCTCCATGTTGTTAATCATGGTCATAGGCACAAAGCACCAGCAAACTGTAGAATGAATGCACAGGAGCCAAGCGAAAAGAAATTGCACATACTGTTTCTCAGGTAAAATACTTTTTCTCATCAGGTCTTAGACTCCAAACTTAAGCCCATTCCTGTAGAGGAAGGCATTCTAAATACCAAAATTGAGCATGAGCTTAAAGGAGGTTTCTGGAAATGGACTGCATTTGAGGAAAATGTTGGTTATATGAATCTTTTGGGTTGGAGGGTTTGAAATAAAATAATTCGGTTTAGATCCTTCTGACCTGCGTATTGCTTTTAACAGTGACAGCTACAGTGACCTCAGTGATGACAGCTCTCTAGAAAAAGAGTTTCCTAATTCAGAAAAAGCTGAAATGATTGTATGACAGCACAGAAATGGATGATGCTGTTGAGGTAAGCTGAATTGTTGTGATACTGCTTTGTGACATTTATTTCTTCTAGACTTAAGACACAAGACACAGTTATCTTGATACTACCTTTTGTTTCAAGTCCCATCTGAGAGCTTATGTTTTCTTCCTTGCCTGCAGCACTTAATTTTTTTCTTCTTCTTCTGCTTAACTCTGCAATTGTGATATTAAAGTCTGCTAAGTGTTTTGGGTACAGCTTGTATGTAGGATGCTGTACAAAGTTAAGCTGTGTTAGTGTTTGATGATACAATGAAAATACAGTTTAAAATGATGTGAGGGTTGGTTTTTTTTTGTTATTTCAGTTTTCAAGTTTGGATCCCTTTGAGTACACTATGTTGGCATGACTTTCTGCACTAATACTTGCTTGTAATTTCATCTGATGCATTGATACATTGAAGACATCCAAGGTTAATACTTGGATTTAATCTGCAGAGTGACAGAGATACAAACCAGTTTTATTAAGTCATAGCTTTGTTTGCTGTAGGCTTTGCAAAAGCAATATTGGATTGGTTGTTTTTTTTTCACCTGTGAACATGGTGACTACAGATTTCCTTTCAGATCTTAGTCTTTATTTTCCCTACACAGGTTCATCAGAGTTGTACCCGGTGTGGTACTCTGTTACATGTGTGCATTCATGCTTTTCCGTATTTCTGAGCACTTCTGTAAGCAGGAGACAACTTTTCCCTCTGATTTCATTCCTCTCACATGGTGTAGTTACTAAGCAGCTGTGCCAAACAGATGATTAAGTCTGCATATGAATGATGCATTTCTGCCTGATGGTCTCCTGATTAAAATACTGGCATGAGATGTGAGAAATCGGAGTCTTTAGCTGCAGTATGCATTTCTTCTGTATTTTTAATTTATTTCTTTTCCCCTCTCATGTACCACGTTAAAGATAATAATACATCTCAAAATCATAAGAGTGAAGAGCAGAATGTTCAATGATTTCATGACCTAGTGCATGCAGATACAGTAATGATGCATGTCACAGAGTGACCAAAAATAAGGAGTCACAATGTGCCTATTTGCTCTTGCCCAGATTCTTCCCACCTCCAAACATCACTATGGCTCTGTTTCTTGAGGCCAGCACATAGTAATGGACAGCCCCTTTAGCTTTGACTTTGCTTTCCTCCATGGAATTTATGAATGGTAATTCTGTTTACCATTGCAGATGTGACTTTTTCATCACTTTTGTGATGCTTTCAAGTAGGTATCAGTAAAGCAGATTTTATTTGAACATGTTGCTAGTGGATACCAATTGAATTCAACAGAATTACTCTAGAAAGGATTAAATAACTAATTCAAAATATAAAAGAAGGATACAAGCGTTGGCTCATTTATCTTTATCTCAGGGTTAATCAGAACTGGATACACGCATAGTCTATATTTACCTTTGTGGTTTTGCTTAAGCTGTTTGACCTAGATGAAGTGCATCCACCTGCAGTATTTACCATAGGACTACTTCAAAGTAAGTCGACAGATTTGAGAGAAACTGGCATGAAATAGACTGTTACAGAAGAAATATTTTTAATCATGTTTTTTTTTCCATTTATTCTTCCTTACCCTCCCCCTTTATGTTACAGAAAACTGGGAACAGTTCAATACTGAAGAGAAGAAAGTAGAAGAGTAAGCTGCTTGTGATCCTCATAGTGTCTCCACCTATCATGTTGCTTTACTGATGACAGTTTCTTGTAGCAAAACCAGTTCTGTATAAATGTTCTTTCTCTTTAAAAATGACAAAATGGTTGCGCACCTTAGCTGTAATCATTACTGATCATATCCTGTGTTTCAGAGTGGTCTCAGGTAAATATGTATTAATTTGCTAGTTCACAACTGTTCTTGATTTGAAGGAAGATTTGATTGTTTTCAGTTTGCCTTAGAACAGGAAGATGCATTGGTTCTTGTGAAGGAGAGGGAATGCACTAAAAAAATTTAAGCAAAAGTTGTTTTATCCATGAGCAGTAGAGAACTGTTTTGTTTTGCTATTTAGCTTGTTGCATATATATAATTTTACTTTTTTGCTCTTCAGTATGTACAAATAAAAAAATTGTTGCTGTATTTCAGCTCTTTGTGATTATAAAAATTGATGTTGGTTACACCTCTTTTCACTTTGCTTTTATAAGTGATTTCACTTTTGAAAAGCTCAAGTTTGATTTGCTGTTTCTGCTGTTTCTTCGGGAACTCTGACTGAATACTGAACGTAATTGTGATCTACAAAATTACAGAAGTAGAAAGCATTTTTGTATTTGTATTTTGTAAGAGAGAAATTAAATACACTGATATGTTAAAATGTAATTTGAACACTTGTGTGGAAATTGTAGAAGAACCAGTCATAAACCTGGAGCATTATCTGGACTCCAGCCATGTAACACTCAGTTAATTTCAATAACTGAGTATGAAGGTGAATTAAGGTTCACTCTTGTTTTCTCTCATGCAGTGACCACTCCATGGTCATGGCATTCTTTCCCCAGTAGAATAAAACAATTTATTTTAATTTAGAAATCACAAGTTATTCCACTGTATGACAGTTACAGGCACCCTTGCAATACCAGGACTGCAGCCTGAATCACTGACACAGAAAGGGAATGCGAGGGGTGCTGTACCATGTTTAAGGCTGAATCCTATTAGCCCTGTAGCATCATCAGACTTGTCAAGAAGCTGGACCCAAGCTATGTAACTGATGGGGATCCAAATACCTGGGCCAGCTTTTCCTACAAAGAAAACTGGAATTTTGAGCTTTGTGTTTCATTGGTTTTGGGATGGGACGGGTCTTGTTTAACATCTTTGTCGCTGACATGGACAGTGGGATTGAGTGCGCCCTCAGCAAGTTTGCTGATGACACCAAGCTGTGTGGTTCAGTTGATACCCTGGAGGGAAGGAATGCCATACAGAGGGACCTTGACACACTTGTGAGGTGGGCTGATGCCAACTTCATGAAGTTTAACCATGCCAAGTGCAAGGTCCTACACCTGGGTCGGGGCAATCCCAGGCACAGCTACAGGTTGGGCAGAGAAGAGATTCAGAGCAGCCCTGCAAAGAAGGACTTGGGGGTGTTGGTTGGTGAGAAAATGAACATGAGCCGGCTTCAGTGTGTGCTCACAGCCCAGAAAGCCAACCGTACCCTGGGCTGCATCAAAAGGAGCGTGACCAGCAGGTTGAAGGAGGTGATCCTGCCCTTCTACTCTGCTCTTGTGAGACCTCACCTGGAGTATTGTGTGCAGTTCTGGTGTCCTCAACATCAAAAGGACATGGAACTGTTGGAACAAGTCCAGAGGAGGGCCACGAGGATGATCAGGGGACTGGAGCACCTCCTGTATGAAGACAGGCTGAGGAAGTTGGGGCTGTTCAGCCTGGAGAAGAGAAGGCTGCATGGAGACCTCATAGCAGCCTTCCAGTATCTGAAGGGGGCCTATAGGGATGCTGGAGAGGGACTCTTCATTAGAGACTGCAGTGACAGAACAAGGGGTAATGGGTTAAAACTTAAACAGGGGAAGTTTAGGTTGGATATAAGAAGGAAATTCTTTCCTGTGAGGGTGGTGAGGCACTGGAATAGGTTGCCCAGGGAGGTTGTGAATGCTCCATCCCTGGCAGTGTTCAAGGCTAGGTTGGACGAGGCCTTGGGTGATATGATTTAGTGTGAGGTGTCCCTGCCCATAGCAGGGGGGTTGGAACTAGATGATCTTAAGGTCCTTTCCAACCCTAACTATTCTATGATTCTATGATTCTGTAAAAGGTAAATATCTGTACAAAAATAGAAAAGCCATTATTGCAGCTTTGTAAAACGGTAAGTTTAAAAGCTTTGCATTGCTTTAGAAAATCTCAGGTTGCACAGTTTATCTCTTCACTAAAAGAAGCTTCAATGGTAATAAAATATAAAATGTATTCCTCTGGAAGGGTTTATCTAAAGCGGTTTGCAAATGCATGCATGCCTTAGAAACAGGAGGTATTGCCAGAATTGGTGTCATTGTATGTTTCCCCCAATGAGAGACACTGTTCTGTGAAAGATGAAGCATTTTCCTAAGATTGTCTGAAATGTGCAAATGTATTTTCAAATATATTGTGTTATTTAGAACTGTTTAGATACTGTGTTAAAGAATCATGGTGCCCACTGTGAACTGTGCTGTCAAGGAGGGAATTTTTCATTTAGTCAAATGAAGCTGGAAACAGCGCCTTCATCTTTTCATCTCCTAGTGCCATTACCGATCCTCTTGCTAACTGTGCTACATAAAGGAGTATCCCTGAAGACAAACCCATTACTGTCACAAGGGATCCATCTCCTCTTTGAGCTGACAGAAGCAGCAGCATGCCATTTCCAAAATGGAAAAAGGCAAATGAACTTTTTCCACCCAAATCGTGGGCTACAATTAGGAGTGTTGCCAGCAGATCCGAGGAGGTGATCCTATGCCAGAGTGGATAATCATGTATCTACCTGTTCCTGGGTATGTTCTGTAAGCCTGTACAGTTTACTAGCCTGGGCATAGCTGAACCACTCCGTCTGGGAAAACCTGACTGAAGAAATGTTGGGTGTGGGTATTGGGAACTGAAGCTCTGTTTTGTTGGGAGGATCAGTTGGGTGTGTTGGAGGATGACGTTTAAAATCTATGCCTGCCTCGTCCAGAAAGTGGTCCTGTGCTGATGCCAGCTATGGTCAGCTTTTCCCTCACAGGAAGTTTGGTGGCTTGGTTGAGTTGGACCAGAGTCTGCACTTGTTTCTGAACAAGAGGAGCAGCATCCAAGCTTGGATGTGACTGTGGGGTAGATATTGCACTTAACTGATACTGTAGACAGAGCTGTATCTTACTGAGTATCTCTAGTCAGGTGTTGTATCTCATCAGCACAAGCTTCTGTTTCACTGTAAGATTTACAGGTAAAGTCTTTTAGCATCTGCTCAACATATGTAACATGCCCTGCCTTGAATCTGAGGTTTCTTTCCTTGTTTATTTAGCAGCTTGAGAGATAACCTTTGTGTGCTAACGTAATGACTGCAGAGGTTAAATCTAATAGAAAGTCTTACATCTAAGTTTTCCTGAGACACTGAGGAGGATTTGCCTGGCCACCCAGACTATTCCTCATCAGGGAATGCTTGTGGAAAGGTGCGCCAGATCTTGCAGTAGCTTGCTGTTTTTCTGAAGCCACTGAAGTGATGCCAATTCATATCACACAGTGTGACTATTGATTACAGGGTGGTACTGAAGAGTGCTGTCACCTGGGATTCATTGGACTCAAGCGTGGTTCTAAATTCCTCTGCAGGTGTCTAAGCCCTTGCTTGCCAGGAATACCCTGGAGGTTTTGAGCAGTAGGTTGGAAGTAAGGCTGACTTCACAGCAAGAATCTGTGTGAGCAGGAAGTACAGCACCAAGCCAAAGGAAGTTTTCAGGAAAGAAAAAAGCAGGCAGTGATGGCAAGGGGCTTGCTGCTCAAAAGGGTGTGGAGGAGGTTAAGGAAAGAACAAGTGTAAGAGCAGCAAGTGACTTGCCAACCTAAGCTGACCTCCTCATGGGAGCTATGTTACACTTACTATAGCAATGCAAATGAAAGGTTCTCCCCAAACTCAGGGTGTGTGTCATGATGACAGTAGGGAGTGTAATTACAGCATACAGGACTTCTGAGTCATCTTGGTTGCAGCTGACAGTGAGGCCAGATCAGCATGGAAGTGAACAGGAGCTGTGGAAACCTATGTGGGACCGGCTGAAGCTCATTTCCCCCAACTGTACTGTTTGCATATGTGAGGTGACTAAAATTTGCTGAGAAGGGGAGTCAGGTGGATCAAGGAGGGGATCAGAGTAACATTGCTCTTGGGAGAGCACGTGGCCTCCTGCAGCATCCTGGGAAAACTCACTGCAACGTGACGGGATGCAAACAGTATAATCCTTTCTGTACCTAGGACTGAATAACACCTTATCCTTGCACACAGGCTGGAGGAGGCTCCTTCACTTGGGCATCTGCATGAGAGTTGTGATACATTTCTGTGCCTCAGCATTACATCCCACATACTGCTCAGTTTTTCCCTGCTAGCATAGTGAATTGGTAGCTGTTATCCCTGTGGTAACTTCCAGAAAAATTCTTCCTCTTCCCAGTGCACCCCATCCCCACTCTTGACATAGTCAGCGCTTACTTCCAGGATTTCACTCATTTTCCAAATTAGCATCCTTTATATTTTTAATGTCAATGAACTTAGTGTTTTAGATATTTCTCCTTGTATTGGATTCTCAGCTCTGTCTAGATTTTTCAGGTGTTCAGCTGTATCTCATCTGTTTACTACCATGTGCTGACAGAGTGAAATGAATTAAGGACTCATCTAAAATAAGGATACAAAAAGAATCTATGCATTTTCTGCTGTTTAGGGTGTTCATATTTGTGTAATTCCCCTAAAATGATCCAGAATATTTACATAAGCATCTATTAGATATCTGAAGAAAATGTTGCCTCATCTGGAAGTTCATTTGGAATAGCAATTCCAGAAATGTTGGTTTTCCATTCTCTGGTTGACTATATGTAAGCTGCTTTAAAAAAACCCACCACCACCACCAAACGTGAAACAAACCAACCAAACAAAAAACCCAAACCAAACAATATATGTGTTTTAATATGAATTAACTTTCATGGAGCACAGAAGTAAACCAGTTGTGTTATTCTTTATTCATATACAAGTGAACTGTTTGGTTCCTTGCTCCTTAAAATTCCTCATGGATTGCAGGATCTAACATCCTGGTCTGACCTAGCTGACCTTTTGCTAGAATAATGTCTGTTAGACTGCCTTTCATCTTGTAAAAACTGTGTACTTTAATCTTTACACTTTGATGGTTTGTTTATATATGAAATACTTTCTCTGCTTGTAGCCTCTTAGTTAGGTTGAGGAAATTGGTTTCTTTATAGAACTCCTGGCAACATACTAGCATAGATTTGGATCAGAGCCTAGAAAACCAGCTTTTGCCTGAAGTGTAGATAATGTTCTGTGCTTTAGGAGTGCTCCTGGAAAGGTAAGTCTATCTTTTCCACCTCTGTGGACTCTCTGTTAATAATTTAAGAAATAATAATTTAACAGTTGGAAGTTTCTTGTGAAGTAACAGTAGCAGTTTGGGTATCCTAAGAACTG